TTACTATATATATATATATATATATATATATGTCTTAACATATTTTCAATTCTGGATGCTTGCCTTCCTAAAGATTGCACATGTAATAGAACAAAATAACTATACAAATTTATATATGCAATCTTTAAGAAGGCAAGCATGCAGAATTGAAAATATGTTAAGACCTGTACCTATAAAAGAAACCACAAATGTTTTATTTAAACCACCTCCATCACTTGATAAAGAAAAATTTAATTTTAGAGAAAATAATAAAACCCTAATGGATCAATTAATATCAAAATTATCTAAATTAGAAATTAAAGAGAAAACTTAAAAAATTCAGGACAAAGAAAAAGAGAAAATTTCTACAGAAATCCCTGAATCATCTACATTAACCTTATAAAAAGAGACACCCATAATTGCTAACACAATAGAGAATATGGAAGAAGCTTTTACGGAAAATAGTCATGAACAAGATAATAATAATATTCAAATAATAGTATATGGAAAATCATGGAAACCTTTAACAGCTAGGCCCTATCATCATAGACCTACCCCTGTTGATATACAATTCGAAGAAGATTTGGTAGCCCAGAATATTTCCTATTCAGGAAGATCAATAGTAAATTGGAATATAGATGGATTATCTGAACAACAAATATTAGACACTATGAAACATATGACCATGTATGCCTCTGCGTGCAAAATGGTAGGCAACCATGATCAAGAGGTCGCCAAAGTCATTGTTTGTGGTTTCACAGGATGGCTTCGAGGTTGGTGGGATTTCCACTTACCTGAAAATACAAAACAACAAATTTTGAATAATACTCGCTAATGGACTGTTAAAAATGAAAATAATCAAGACGTCCTATATTCCGATAATGATGCTGTTAATACTCTCATTTACACCATCACACTTCATTTTGTGGGGAGTACAGCCTTACTTGAAGCCCGATCTGAAGATTTGTTATCTAATTTAAGATGTCCAACCCTATCCCATTATAAATGGTACAAAGATGTTTTCTTTTCCAGACTATTAAGCAGAGAAGATAGCCAGCAGGATCATTGAAAAGAAAAATTTATTGCTGGATTACCATATTTATTTGCAGAAAAGGTAAAAACTAGATTAAAAATAAAAATGGAGGAATAATACTATATTTCTGTTTATACATTAGAAGAATTATCTGCAGAAATATGTACAGAAGGATTAGCCCTATGTACAGACATGAAATTGAAGAAACAATTAGATAAACAAAAAATGACTGGTAAAAAAGAATTAGGAGACTTCTGTGAAAAATTCGGATATCATATAGAAAAATCTAGAGATAAATTTCATAAAAAGAAAAGATATAAGACAGAAAGAAAAGAAAAGAAATCTTATAAAAAACATAAGAAAGAAAAATTCATAAAAAAATTCTCTCCAAAATACAAGTACCATAAGGGTAAAAGGAAATTACCTGTATGTTATAAATGCGGAAAAATTGGCCATTATAAAAGCCAATGTAAAATAAAAAAGAAAATAGATACAATAATCTTAGAATAATCTATTAGAAATAAACTATATGATATAATACAAATATATGATGATGATTCTTCTGAATCTTTCACTGATACTACAATGGTAGGACAAATAGAAGATGAAGATTATTTCATGTCCTCAACAAAACAATCTGGATCTGAACAAAATATAGAAGAATGTTCCTGTAATATGCTTTCCAAAGAAGATACATTAATATTAGACCTTATAGAAAAAATAAATGATCTAGAGGAAAAGAGAGAAATTATTACCCAATTTATCACATTAACAAAAGCAAAAAATAAACCAATTCCATTACTCAAACCACCAGAGGATTACAATTTTGCTAAAATACTCAAACGAATTAATAAAAAAGATATACTTCAAAGAGAACCCACAATATCTGAATTAAAAAAAGAAGTAAATGAAATAAAAACAGAAATAGGACAATTAAATACTAGAATCAAAATATTAGAATTACATAAAGACATATCAGGAACTGTAACTGATACATACGAAATCGAATTCGATCAACTAGCAGATCCTAGTGATAAAGAACCAGAAACCTTCAGAACCAAAGAAGTTGAAGAAAATATATCGGTAAACTTAGTAAATAAAATTATTTCTCAAAAATGGTTTATATTAGTAAAAATTGTCATCGAAGGGGAATATAATTTTCAAACATTAGCTTTAGTAGATTCAGGTGCAGATTTAAATTGTATTAATGAAGGTTTAGTTCCATCAAAATATTTTGATAAAACTACTCAAATACTTAATACTGCTGATGGTAGTAGATTATTTATTAAATACAAATTATCAAATGCCATGGTATGCAATAATGGACACTGTTTTTCGACACCTTTTATTATGGTAAAAAACTTAAGTCAGGCAGTCATACTTGGAATTCCATTCTTAACCTTACTATATCCCATAACAATTAATAATACAGGAATAGAAACATCTAGAGTAGGACAAACAATTAAGTTTGAATTTTTAGAAAAACCAAAACTTAAAGAAATCAATAGAGTCAAAGACAAAATGGATAATAAAGAAAAGTTTCTATGTTCCCTTAAAATAGAAATATAATATATATATATATATATGGGTGTAGTTTCTATAAGGTTACAACCTTAAACAATCCAATTATGGTGTACCTTAAAATTTTATTATAACATGTAATTTTGTTGTAAAAAATACTTAGTATTATCTTAAAATCTATTTTCATACCTAATTAGAAAATTTTGTATTAAAAAATTGATTAAAATCAAGTCGATCTATAAATATGTAAAAATCTTGAAAATAGACATTCTAGATAATGTGTTGCAAGATGCATTATTTTTCAGGACTAAAAAACGTTGTTTTTTTTCATATTCATGCTTTTGGGGGGTATTTTGGTCAATTTATTTCATGTAAAATTTTTTTTTTTATTTTTCAAAAATTCCTCTATTTTTTATGAATACACGTTCCAAGTTTCAGGTCATCTGATTTGAATAAATAAAAATAAAAAATGAAACACTACCGGACAATCGTAACCACACAATGAACTTTAGACAGCGATGGGGGTAGACGAAATTATTGTTCATTTTCGCCTATAGGTGTTGCACAGTGTTTTCCTATATATATATATATATATATAACTTTGATAGAACAACAGTTACAAAAGCGAATTTATCCATGACTACAAACTTCTTCCATACCCCTCTTAGCTGTACATACGAACAATATGGCTGCGATTACTCTGAAAAGATTTCACAACAGCTTGTACTTACTAAAGTGACTATCATTATCCTAAAAAATCAAAGTTGGAAGATGTAAACATTTTTTTAAAAAATGCATAATAAGCAAAAATTCGACGTATTGATTTCATGCATTCTAATACATGATATTAGACAGATTCATTTCTAACCTTACACATATCATGTATTTCTTATTGGACAAATAAAATAAGCATGATACATAAGCTATATGCACGTGATTCATATCAAGATCAATTATAATTTAATTTTAGTAGTTTAAAACATTACTACAATCAAGTATTAGATATGATCAAACAAGCATGCACAACACAAGTCCTACATTAAAAGCACCAACCTCGGGTCTCAGGTCCCAACTTCGAGTCCAAGGTTGCAACTTCTACCGTCCCACAGGAGAAGCATCACCAACGGGTACTTCTGTTGTGTAGTACCTCACATACACATAACCCTACGGTGCTTTGGGGCTTTTGATAGGCACTAGTCTTGCAAGACACACCCCTCTCATGTACCCTTCTGGCAAGAGAGCGTTACACTACCAAATGAGTTATGTTTTACATAGATTTTGGGGGTGCGACCTCCCAAACACATGCACTTCAAACTCTCATACTATCATAGAGAGTAAGGATAAACCACAACTGTCGGCACAATTATCACATCAGATTACAACAGAGGCATGTCTCCATGCACTCGTATCTTAATATGTTGTCATGCACACATATCTTATCAGAAGCATGTTACCATGTACACATATCTTATCAGAAGCATATTATCATATGCACATATCTTATCATAAGCATATTCCCATGCATACACATCTTATCAGAAAATATGTTGCCATACAAACATCTCTTATCAAAAGCATGTTATCATGCATACATATCTTATCAGTAGCATGTTACCATGCACACATATCTTATCCAAAGCATGTTACCGTGCACACGTCTCTTATCAGAAACATATTACCATGAACAAATATCTAATCAGAAGCATGTCTCATATATAATCACCAGAAACATTACCTTGTCTATGCTACACATATAGTCACAAGAGACATCACTATGTCATATATAATTAAAAGACATTATTATGTCAATTGCATGCTATATATCAATGTAGTAGATATTAGGAAATAATAATATCGTATTTTTAAAATATTATTGAAATCATTAACTTGAATTTTCATAAAGCATTTTATAGCAATCACTTGCACGCAGACAACACTTGCTCTGTCATTTGGACATAACACTTGCACATAACACTTGCACATAATATTTGCTCTATCATTTGGACGTATAACACTTGCACATGTATAACACTTGCACTGTCACTTGGACATAACACTTGCACATAGCGCTTGCACATAACTCTTGCATGCACATAACATTTACAGTATCCAAATTTATTCTATAAATATTACTATTAAATACAAAAATATACAAAACTTACAATATCAAAAATATTACAATTAAATGTAGAAATATCTCTAGGCATATTATAGAAATATCAGTTTTTATCAAATAATGATTTTATAGGAAAAAATGAAGTCACTTACCTATATGTTATTATGAGATTGAAGAGAAAATGGCGATGAAGAAGGAGGAGGTACCAAGAGAGAGACGGTAAGGAAAGCCATGAATGAACTGCAATTACTACTATAGAAGGGCAAACATGTTTAAGGAACAATTACTTTTCTTCGTAGCAAGTGCAGGCAGTGAAGCAATCGACAAAAACACAAAAGACAATGGTATGCTTGCAGCTCGTGCCTGCAAGTACTGTCTAGGCATTGTATACGTTGTGCCCAGTAAATGAGCATCACTAATGTCCATCATCAAATAGAAGATAAATTTTGCCACCGGTCATATGCAAACAAGCCTCGCCAGACCACTGTTCTCGCTCCTGTTATTGTTGTTGTGCGACAGCGAAGAGGCGTCGACGATGGTAGGGTACTGACAAGTGGTGGAGGAGAGAAAGAAGCGTCGATGATAGTAGGATACCGACAAGTGGTGGAGGAGAAAAAGACGAAGCATGAGTAAGGTGACGTGGGTGGTAGATACGGCGTAGAACCATGTGAGCCATTAATGGATTTTCTTCGGGTTTTCTCTGTCTGAATTTACGAAATAGCTAATATACATCGAAGCTTGAATGCCTTTAATGGAGTTTTTTTATTTCTTTGTCTAAATTAAAAAGATTGCCAGTAATGGAGTCACGGTTTGGTGTTTCCTTAACAAGCATTTCTAGAGAGATAAATGAGTCGGCCACTCTTCAAACTATCGCTGACGACACAATGGTTCTTTCAATTCTATTTGACTGGAATCATGTAGGAAACTGAGAGGACTCACTGCAAAACAAAGATGACGTCAGGGTTCAAAGCATTTTTAGAGAGAGGATGTCTTATGGGGTCGGGTTATTGAAAAAGAGGTTTTTGAAGCAATTCTAGAGAGAGAATCTCTTATCCAATTGGACTATTAAGAGAGTATTGTAACATGCTTTAAAAAAGGATCGGTGTTCCGGGCTCTTTAACCCATTCGGATCAGTGAATCGGCGATTCGGATTATAAATCAACTGACTTAGTCGGATTAAATTTTTTAAAAATTTTAAAAAATTATTATAAATATTAGCTTTTAGGAATCCAATAAGAAATAGAGTATTACAATATTATCTTTTATTTTTTCCATCAATTTGTGAATATTGAGATTTTCTTTTCTTGAATGAACTTATGTTAAGCATTAAATTTACATCACACAACGGAAAAATCATAGAATTATCATGGATGAAGTATATAATCATACATGGACTACTGTAAAGAATGGATTAAATCGATGAAGAAATAGCCACTAAAATCTCGAATTCGCGGAAAACCCCAATCTGCTAAAAAAACAACCCCAAATTATTACAACCTAACTAACTATGATCTAAAATTATTACAACCTAACTAATTATGATCTAAAATTATTACAACATAACTAATTATAATATTATATACTATAATTGAAATTGTTGGTTTACATTTTATAATTATTTTATATACAAATAATAACAAATCCAAAATATCTTATAATATCATTTAATTTAAAATATATTATTGACAACTGTAAGAAAAAATAGTACATTACATAATTTATAATGCAAATAAAGTAATACATAAGATAAAAGATTTGGTTATCAATGTAAAAATTATTAAAATGCGTACCAATTTTTGAAATAACACTTCTAATTTTTCAAAAATTTAATTTTTTATGTTTCTAGAATAAATTTAGTGGAAGAGATTGTTAATAGAGAGAGAGAGATTTCAAATAGCCTCATTGTATGAACCCTATATTTAAATTAATATTCCTAAAATTATGTTAGATATCAGCACGTTATAAAAATAAAAAATATAATTAAACAATTTATTCCTAGGTAAAAAAAAAAAACATCTAACAATAGGCGGTCATAAATGATAAAGAAAATAGTTTACATGCTTCAAGCCTATAATGTATTACATTTACAGATCTAATTTAAGCTTATAATAATCGCAGTTTAAATTCATACTTGAAAAATATGATACTTGTTGTATTATCTTTTTTTTTTACAAGAAATACTTGTTGTATTAAGAAATACCTTTTTTTTTTTTGACAAGAAATACTTGTTGTATTAAGAAATACCTTTTATTTGTTTTTTACAAGAAATACTCTTTGTATTATCTTTTATTTTAAATTTTTTTTAATAAGAAAAATATGATACTTGTTGTATTATCTTTTATTTTTTTTTAAGAAATACTTCTTGTATTATTTTTTATTTTTTTTAAGAGAAAAATAAAAAAATAGCAAGAAATACTTATTGTATTAATAAATACCTTTTATTTTTTTGGCAAAAAATACTTGTTGTATTAATTTTAATTTATTTTTTATGAAAAAAATAAGAAAATAACAATAAATACTTGTTGTATTAAGATATACATTTTTTTCTTTTTTTTGACAAGAAGTACTTGTTATATTACCTTTTATTTATCTTTTGACAAGAAAAATAATAAGATGTTGTATTACCTTTTGTTTTGTTTGTTGTATTATCTTTTATTATTATTATTATTTTTTTACAAGAAAAATAAGAAGATGGTGTATTACTTTTTATTTATTTATTTTATTTATCTTTTGACAAAAAAAAAAAAGATGTTGTATTACTGTTTTTTTTTTTTGTTGTATTACCTTTTATTATTATTTTTTGACAAGAAAAATAAAAAGATGTTGTATTACTTTCTATTTATTTTTTGACAAAAAATGTATATTGTATTAACTTTTATTTTTTTATTTTTTAAGTTTCCTTTTTTTTACAACAAAAGTAAGACGGTCGTTGCTACCCAAGTTCACGTGAGTAATAACCAACTACACCGCAGCCTCACTTGTGGCTTTATCCATGTGAGTAAAATCTTATATTGTATTTATCTTTTTGAAGCCAAGTACCATTCAAATCCGACATTGAAAAATTGAAAGGAGATTGACGGGTATAAAACTTTCGTCGGTGCCACAAGGGATCGCGTGGGAAGTGTGTGAGGAAGCATGAGGCCTTGTGCTCGTGCACACGTGGTGCCGTTTCATTGTAGCGGCTCGTTTTTAACTAGACCGATTTTCGGTATTGTGGGAATCGTCGTTTTATTATAGCGAATCGCTATTTTTTTGCTTGATTTTCGGTATCGGTAATGGTTTAAAAAGCGGATCAGTGACTCGGATCGGGCACCTAAAAAATCGATCCGGATCGGCGAATCGGACAATTTAGATCGGAAATCGGGTGAATCGGTCAGATTAAAGCTTCAAAAAAATCCGAAAAATTTATTAAAATTCATTATAAATATTTTTTTTTA